TTTAAGTAAACAAACAGGCTAACCCCTGCACCACGTTACTGTCAGCGAGAAGTAAACGGATAAATAATTATTACTACCTTGTCCATTCGTATGTTATGACATCACGTTACTGGGAAACTACATTTCTTAAGATAAACACCAATTCACAAAGATCATTTCTAGTTCTGCAATGTGATCGCATTTCGTACGTTCCTATGACTCAGTGAACGACTTACACATTTATACGATTTATGATATGACGCGCACAAACATACAACCACAACGGCAGATTTAAAGGAGTTGAGGTACTATTTGCAACTGTAATCTTGAGACTTGCGGGGTGAAGGAGGAAAGATGGCGTCTGCCTTTAATACTTCGTACCTACTGCATTCCTTGAAAGTCTCAAGATTACAGTCGCGAACTATACGTATAGCCTCGGCTCCAGAAGGAATTAAGTGGTCAGCTTCACGATCCGGCCGTCTCAGCCCCAAGGTGCGGTAAGATGGGAAGCCCCCAGCGCCTCTATCGTCGGTTCAGTGACATTGCTCAACGTGATCAACGTAAGACAAATGGGGGTAGGGACGAGAAAGGAGTAGGACAACTAATCTTATTTTATTTATCTAATGCAGAGATTTCATAACCTCCTCGTCAATGACAACCTTTCGGCCTCCACAAATATTGACGGAATAACAAACAACAAGAAGTTTGAAAAACAACGAAGAACCCAAATCAAGATAATCTGCTTTAGGTACTAGAATTTTTGAACAGGGGACCTCCGTTTAATCCACATTAATTCAATTTATTGCAAGTGAAAAAGTAAATCTGCCCCACTATACGCCACGTAGGCACTTGGGAGGAGAGACGAAGTAACTCCTACTCATTTTTAACCTCGGCACTAGATGGGGGTGAGTGGTCAACGTCACGCCCCGGCCGGCTTTACCCCCGGGAAAGGACCCCGGTACCCATTGTAGAGGAGGCTGGGTGGGCCCCAGAGCCGGTCTGAACGCAGAGGTTAGAGAAAAAAAAAATCCTCTGCCCCCGTCGGGGATCGAACCCAGGTCGTCCAGTCCTCTATTTGTTTTTACTCACATGCCACGTCTAGCAAATGAAATCTGCTAGCGAATCTCAAGGACTGTTTAATTCCTGCGGGAGCAGTAAAGGAAAACGGGGAATGTTTTTCTCATCAGCAGTCACCATTACAAAAACATTTCGCACACATTCAGTGCGACGTATCGATTATTTATTTAGTAACACTTTTACACTCAAGTTATGTAGCATTGAATGATAATATGTGTGAAAGACGAATTTTAAAAGGATCGGAAAGGAAGTGGTCGTTATCTATTTCGAGGCGTTGACCTAGTATTTACTACGAGGGCCTGACAAAACCCATATAAATATCAGTCAGAACAGTCGGTTCCCGGACGGAGGTTAGGACAAGGTCCTCCCCAATAAAAAAGATTGCTAACCACTCGCCTGTGATCTCTGGTGATGAAGGGCAGATTAACAAATGAGTCGTGCGCTTGGGTCGTGTGTGACCTGACGTAATTTGTGGATACAACACTTTGGCACGCCCGGTGTGACTGGTTCCGAGGCCATGACTGCAAACAGACTAGAATAATTTACTCGAGAAACAAACATGTGTTTTGTTGGGATCTGTTTTTACATTCTGAATGCCTCTGTTTGTGGTAGTGGAATTCCTTTCTGTTTTTCAAAGCGTGTGTCACACTTAAATGTCGTCTTACACGCAGCTACGCAACTCGATCGTGTTCTGTTTACCAAAACAATAATAGTGACGAGACAAATGAAATACGTCGGTAAACAGGTCAAGGATACGTCGCGTATTACGACAGTGAAACCGTTTGCAAAAAAAGCAACTAATTATTCAATCACGGCTTTGATCGGCACTTTTCAGCTCGCGACAAGACAATTAATGTAACTTCGATTCATTCAGCCAGGGTTCCAGGTTCCGATCAAACCACGACAACAAGATTCCCAACACTTTACAGGCAAACAAACTGACTAAAACCAACTCCCTGTAACCGAGTCCTTGAGGAGACAATAGCCACTCACCTCAAGAATTCCTGGTCTTTTATAGAATCCGAAGGGTCCACATCCTCTTACGCGAGTTCCCTGAGATTCGCTTTAATATTATTCTCTCATCTGAGCTCCTGTATTTCCAAATTTTCTCATCCTTTACGTATTTCAAACAAAAAAACTTTGTGTGCATTATTCAAATTCCAAATTCCCCGTACAACTCGTCCATGATTTGTCATCCGAATATCTGGTAAGTTCCTCGTTATGAAATTGTCTCCAGTCACCTGTCACTTGGATACAAATATCTCCTCAGTAGCTTCAGTAGCGTCCGCCACACACGCATGCGCAAATATATGATGCTTCAACCCGCGGGATACAACGCGATCTCGGAGAGGAAATCTCTGTGGACACAAGGAACAAGACCGCTGTGATGATCACATCCGCTTCCGGTACTCGTAATATAACGATTCGATTATAATCGAAACTCGTGTGTCATAAATTACGTTGTTTGTTTTCTTGCTAAATAATGACACGAGTCTGAAAAAAATAACCACTACACGTTCGTGTTACGAATAAAACTGGTGTTAAGTGTTAACACTACGTCAAGAAACGTTTTAAAAGTGTTAATTGTGACACGACACTTGTTTATCCATCGTAAGCAAATCGGTTTTAGTTGCCAAGGCATCCTGCAACGTGAATAGTGTTAATTTTTTTTTTCCAAGTCTCCGTCTGTTTACGTGAATTTCAGTGACAATGTCGCAACTTTTCATTCGCTGTGATCAAGCCGGATCGAATACTGAAGTAGCCTATCCTGACTATTATGACTTCGTCGCAGTCACTGCACCGATGGATGACGCCTTAAGGCGGAACACAAAGGTAACTTAAAACTCTAATTCTGATTATTGTCTTCAAAGAATTCACAGATAAAATTGTAGAACGCCTTGATTGATTATCCGGGACACATCCTCCACCATTTATCACTGATAATCGGCGATCAACTGCGTTCATAGAATATAAATTTGTTGGTGATATTAGAAGATTCAGAAGGTCACATATCGACTCTAAATTCAAGAGAGAGAGAAACGGATTTTTAATCATCTCATTTCTGCTTTTATCACCTTCTTTCTATTCTTGTTTTTGTTCTCCAATCACGTCTTTGTATTTTATTCACCTCCTCCTACTACCTATTTTCCTTTCTCCTTCAAGGTACAGCAATAATTTAAATTAATATAGACAAAGGATCCTTAGTTAAATAAAAAAATGTGGTCATTACAAAACTATATTTCATGGTTTTTATACGGCATGTCAACGATGTATCTGGCAGAGCAGTTCCCATAGCTATAATACTTTGTACGAATCTGTACAGAGGACTTCGACCTCATTTCTTCTTCATCAACGCAGAACCAGTGACCCACCCATTTCTTCACAGATAAGAGTGCACTATTCACTCACATACTCGTCATATCCCTTTTAATCTCAAAACCCGTCTAAATAATATTAGAGAATTCAGACCGTACCGCGAAGAAAACACAACTCTTCACCATTACAAAGATCAACTGGTTAACGCTGTTTAAGGAAATAATCGCTGTTTACAGTGAGAATCACAGAAAACCCATAAAAACAAAACGCAAATTTAACGACTGTTAAAGCACCTGGTAATTATACTTACCATTCGAATTTAATATCATGTAGCAATTTTTATCCTACAAGACTTGCGTCTAGCGGTGAAGTGTTACGACTGTGACCTGTGCAATTTTTGAATGGAATGCATATTAATTTTCAACCAGCGTTCTCGAAGTGATGTTTCGTTTTCGGTAGATCGACAGCAATGGATCGATATAAATGGAATGTGTCGATTGGTTTGTAATGTCAGATCCACGTAAGCACGGCACTAGCAGATATTCTGAGTCTATTCACACGTCGCAAGGACAGATTTTGGCAAGCAAGTAGTTTCGATAGACGGACGATGTATTTTCAAACAGATCTAAAAATGTTCAAATAAACTAAATCGATTTTATTTGTAAAGTCTAAAAGTAACAAAATACACAGAAAAACATTTATGGGTACTTAGAAAGGCCGAAACAGAAAAAAATATATCTTTAACGCCTTGAAATTCTGAAAACTAAACGAAAACAAACTAAGATTGAAATAACACAAACACTTTTCATACTTGGTGAACCAAAAAAAGGAAAAAATAACAGAAATTAATAATAAAACATAAAAAACTGGAATTCAAAATTTACTTACGCACGGCTTACCAGACGACAAAACTTTAGACCAAGGCAGGTAACGGGTTCCAAAAATTCGGTTTGTAAAACATCGGAGGATTTTATCACAAATATACATTTTTTTAAAATTTTCTTTCAGACATTTCACTAACCTGTACTAACAAAATAGAACAGGAATGTCATCAATGGTAACTATATGTACCACCTGCTTTAACAATCAGTAAACCTGAACGGGTTTCGTTTCATTATCAGACTAAACATCGATTATTATTTCCTTAAACAGCTTTATCCAGTCGTCGTAATGGTGAAGTGTTGTGTTTTCTTTGCGGTACGGACTGAATCCTCTAATATTATTCAGATGAGCTTCAGCCCCAAATATTTAAATGAAATCCATAAACTAAAATCATTTAACTCCCTAAACATACAAACAAAGACATCAGTTCTTTAGTTAAGATACGTCCTGCTAATGCAAATAGAATAGTTGTTTACGAGTTTTAGTGCCATGGAAATTATTACCAGTATCTCTCGTCCTCGATTTATGTAACAAGCCTTAGAGAGGGGGCGGAGGGAAATTTGTGATAACAAAATTACGTCACTCAACAGAATAGACGAGAAGAGAGAACGTTAAGTAAAGTGTGCGTAGAAGAGAGACAGATGAAAATATGTAACTGGCGACATGACGATAGATTAGTAAACAGGGAGAAGGGTGGGGGGGGGGAGTTATCGTAAGCAGAGGGGCAGTATCATGTAAACTACACTAAAAATAAAATACACTCTTTGGTGTTACATACAGTTTGTTGTGTGGATGTGTCTGGGACAGTTTACGTGTAATGAAACATTCAGCACCCAGCATAAGGTATCATTCAAGCATCACTTTACGATATTATCAACAAACCTATCGCAACAGCCAACAGCCAACAGAATTTCTGGAACGGATTCAAACGTCTGAGACTCCCCGTCTGTTAGCAATCAAACGTGAGTTTTATTTATATCAATCGCATGAAGTTTTGAAACACGTAACTCGTGATTTCTTAAATAAAGCTACAACGGATTGAAATGAACGTAAGTAAATGTTTGTTACAGTTTTGATTCATGTCAGGGTTTTACAACGACGCCACGTTCGTCTTGTTAAAATGAGATGGGATGGTCGGTTAGAAAAAGACGGAGAAGTTCACAGTTTTATTGTAAAAACAGGAACCTTGCATTTCGCACATGACAAATATAGGATTGCCAACGTTTTTCATATCCGTAATTTCTTCATAAGAAGCGTAATTAATATCGTTATATATGATATTTAAAAATGTGTGTAAAAAAAGATCGGTCATTCTTTGGGTGAAAAATGTGATTAGTAGATTACACATCCAGCGTAACAGAACATGCATATTTTAAGACAGTTCTAATCAAATTATAAAATCAGTCAACAAAAATAAAAAAATTGTGAAAATCCCGAGGTTCGCCAAATTCTATCCAAATTCGGGATATGCAGCCCACAGAATGGATCTATGTGTCTCGTATTATCCTCAGAATGAACAGCGATTATTTCCTTAAAACCAGCTGATCTAAGTAATGGTGAAGCGTTGTGTTTTCTTCGCGGTAAGGACTGAATATTTAAATATTATTTCGGTACACTTCGTGGTTCAAAGGATTAACACGAGTTACGGCGACGGCCTACCACATGAAATAATCTGTTTAAACAAGAAAATTATCTAAGACAGCAAACATATATTTCTTCCCGTTTCATCCTTCCTGACCGATTTACATTTTAAACATTTCTCATGATGAAACTTTTGTAAGACTAATCTTATCTTATCGCTGCTTCAGATAATACTGCATAAGGTTATTAATTACCTCCATGAAACTTATTTGTTCATTTTTAAGCGGGACGAAAGTAAATCAAACAAACAGGTGTGTAAGGAGTGCAGTTTTTCTATACATTTTAATCAATTTCTTCAACGTTCTAAATTTGAAACTTTGAAAATTCCTCTCTATTGAGCAGTCTCGTTCCTGAGAAGCTGACAGTAGCTCAGCTAGCCAACAAATTCCAAGATCGGACCAAAAAAATGCATTACTGAGAACAGCCCACCACCACTTCCTGTCCTGAGCCAGATGAATCCAATCCACACCTCATCCCACTCCCACGCGAAATATATAAACTACATATATTTATATTTAAATCTGATGATGATTTAATTTATTTTTATGCAATAAAATTTGGTACAGGGATAAATAGTAAAATATATCTTGGCATGAAATAATTTTTCGGAATTATTTCCTTATTTAAATCCTGTGATATGTTATATGTTTATGAAATACTATTGACAGCTGAGGCAAGCAGATCGTCGGTTATCAATGTCACTCTCAAACACGAATGGCTGATTAACAGCAAGTGGCATCTGGTGTAGAACATCAAAGCAATTAAATCCAGACTCTGTAATGTAATCTGCTTCATAGCACGGAAAATATCTGACGCACGCTTCAAGGCACAGATTTCTTCCCGGATAGTAAAATTTTGCAGAGTGGTAGCCATGTCGTATTTCTATTTTACATTTACCACAATAAATATATTTCAGAGATAAAAAAAACACCTCGAAAGTGGGACAGTTTCAGATCCAGATACATTGTTAAATACTTTATTTATTAGTGTATTATTCAATAATTAACAATTTAATAATTATTTATCACTGAATAATCATCCCATCAACGGAAAATGACAAATAAGATTAACACAGCTCGCTGGACATAAAAATATACACTGATAATGCAGGCAACAGTTTTTCAGCTTAAATACACCTATGATGTCACCAGCTTTTAAAACTCCTCACACGATAAATATTTAGCAACAGTGTTCTCTCGTCTGTGCTGAATATCAATTCCACGGACTGCGACGCAGAATTAACACATCCGTTGCTCGCCCGAGAGAGGGGAAAAAAAAGAGGATATTGTTGAGCAACAATAGCTTACACTTGCTGCTAAGTTCCCACATTCATTAAGTAGTGACGAGCTCTGTCTCATCTTTTTGTTACAATATGTTTGACGACGCGTCAAATGTTAAGACTATTTTATCAACATCTGACTTTCACAACCAATTTCAAAATCATACTGCATATCGACCTCACATTTTATTCTAGGTCTTCCAATTAGACGTTTTCCAAAGGGTTTCTTCACCAAAATTCTGCATTCGATGTCTCCCTCACCCAATCAACACTCCGAGCCCAACGAATGTCCAGATTTAATTATGCTACCAGGACTGGGTGACCTAACCTAACCTAACCTAATTATGTATTTGTTCAATTCAATCTTTTACGAACAAAGAATTTTTCAAAACACCTTAGAGTCGATGAATAATATAATAATCAATCAATAACAGGTCTGATTAAAGAAGATAATTATTATATTCAGCATCAAAATTTAAAGCAATTTAGGTTTTTCCAACTGGTTGCCAGCCAAAAAATAAGTCAAGGTTAATAGTAGGGCTATAACCATTCAAGGCTTCTACGAAAGGCCAAATGGTAAATTCAGTTTATACCTTGTGCCGCTGGGTGATTTATTATTTTGATTCGGTCGTCAAAGCCTCATTAGAATACAGTACACTACGTGAAGGTGGAGACTATGAGACATGTTCTAAAACACAATATAACAACGCTTCAGATAATCTTCTTTTCCTGAAACATTTGAAACTAAAATCCCATCTAGATAATATTTAAGAATTCAGTTCGTACCGCGAAGAAAACACAACTCTTCACCATTACAAAGATCAACTGGTTAACGCTGTTTAAGGAAATAATCGATGTTTATTCAAAGAACGATACGTAAACTGTACGCAAAACGCAGAATTACTGTTGAAGCAGGTGGTATATATTGTTACCATCACCGGAATGAAAGTTCTGTCGAACGTTCCTCCTACAGAGACACGCAGAGTCAGTTTGCCTGTTCCAAAAGACTAGCGCTCTGAAGTCACGCGTGACGGGGTTTTCCTTTGTACATCAAATCTTGCTGAAGGAAAAACTGAAGCCGAAATTGGATACGGCAGAAATGAGATCTCAGGACTCAAGAGACCCAGCTCCAGCATCCAGCTCCGATACAGTCCGCTCAGAAAGTGTACAACACAATTCGTGGTTGTTTAAGCGAACTCCTTACATAGCCATGGCTCTGTAGAGATTTCCTTCGCTAGAGGACGTGTTTATTTAAAACGGAGGTACGTTTATTCTACGGAATGACATTTATTTTCTTTTTCAAAGAAAGTGCCGTGTCTCTGAATTTCAACCGGAGCTTATATTCGCATCCAGGGGGAAAAAATCTGCATAATCAATAGAGTATTCTGTAATCATTAGCATTTATTAAAATATAATAAATTTACGAAATGTACGAGGGTAGCTTTTAGTTTAGATTGTTAACATCTGTGGTTGAATTTAACGACACAAATTTGCTTACTGACTCCACAGTCATCATTAAATTCCAGTCTCAATTCTACCACCTTACAAAAAAAAAAAAAAGTTGAAATAATCTGAATAAACCACTAAATTTTCAAAATTGTGAGCGACCAGGGATCGATTCCTGGCAAGGAACGAAATGTTCTTCGCCATTACATGAACTTTCAACAACACGTGAAAATTCATATAAACTTTACAGAATCTACCCCCAACGATACGAAAAGAATCCAAGCTTCAATTTACTGATGAGAACAACGATTTCCTTGTTTCCTATCCCCCCCCTCTCTCTCTCTCTCTCTATGGATAAAGATATATATATATATATATATATAAGCCTCTCGTTACACGACACAACATGTTTTTAATATAATTCTTCATCTCCACTAACCCCTGTGTATTCTCCTATAACAAATTTCATCTCAGCACGAAGTTAAGGGTTTGTAAACGCAATTTTCCACAGACTACACACGCAACGTGGAAAGACGCAATAGAACTTCTCCGTATATTTAATTTTCTGGAGAGTTGAACGCTGGTGGAATTTACTTTGGGGGTAACACAGCCACTCGCTGTTGAAATATTCCATTGTGACACCCCCGACAAAGGCCAGTGGTCACCTAACCGGACAGGATACTGAAGTCTCTCCCACAAACAAGACTAGTTCTGCGGTTCCATATCAAGGATTTATGATGAACGAACAGTTCCGTTCGCTGACACAAGACCCAGTCACCTTGATTCTGATACATTTTATCCTTCATGGGAGAGAAAGTACTCGCTGAAAGATATTGAAATGCAAATCCTACAGCAAACTTTGCAATTCAAATCTGATCTATGTAAGCAAATACAAACACATCCAAGTGCAGGACGAAGTAAAAAAAAGCTCAGATGAACATCACAGACAAGCGTGGATTATAACATAAGCAGACATCAGACTGTTGTGGAGGGGGGGGTGGGTTAAACAGTGAAGGACGTGTTACACGATGCAAAACATTGTTTTTAACGCACGTCGGTAAAAAATGCCAGACAAAATCATAATACAAAGACAGTTAATAAATACATTTTTTTTTTCGAAACAACGTAAAGTCCACGTACTTGGAAATTATGGTAAAAAAAAATCAAAATAATATTTGTGATAAAATTAAACCAAAATAAATTCGGGGAATGTTCAACTGACAATCAGGTCAAAACATATTTAAAAAATATTACATATTAAAAATGTATTAGAATTATACATTTGCCTGATCTTTTATATGGGTGAGAAATTTGATCTCTCAGAGAAAAATGTGGCAATGCATCAGAACAAATGTCCGAGGAGGATACATGAATCTAAGACAGAAAAAGAGAGAGACAGAGATAAAGCAAAGGTGGATTGGGAAAATTAAATAATGAACAGTTTAAGAGCTAGAAATATTTACAAAACAGGATTTAAGGTGATCAAAACAAAGGAGAAAGGTATCACTTGAAGGACACGTTGGGTTGGATGTGGGGTATAATATTAAAATGCGTGTTAGATAAGTATGTTGCCATGGTGAGGAGCGGAATCAACTGACTGAAGAAGAAGTTGACAAAATTAATTATGTTATCCGATGGGCACAGTACCAACGGCGGTATAACAAGTGGTCCATACCTGACCACACGCCCATGCCTCAAGCGGGCGATACGACCCTGGGCGCTGTTCGTGACAGCCTGACACCTGACCTTCAGGTGGGAGCGGCGTTAATGTAGCAACATAATTCAATTCTGATGACGCAGTACAGAATGAAGACATGCAAGGATTCGTACCTGTTTTTTTGGAGGATCTGAGGGTCTCAAGGCGCCGAAAATGTCATGCTCTTCCGGGTTGTAGCACAGTGTAAAATTGTAGGTAGATACCAAAGTTTCAGAGGAACATTCTGCCTCTTAAGCCCTGAAGACGGAGGCAGGATATTACTCCGAAACGTTCTTCTCCATACGTCTTCGTGACGAGAACAAATATGCATTACAAAGGGGGTTGTTTTTAATGACGAGTCGGGAAAGATATCGGAATCGAAAGGGAAGGTACCATGACCACATTCAGTCTTCAGAAACGCTTTGTTACCCAAAAGCACGTGACCTTGTCTGGCAGCAGGGTCATGTTGGAGTACCGCCTTCATTTGTTACACTGTCAAGGACGCCCAGTAAACAAACTTAACGGTCAGTACCTGATAGGTGTAGCCAAGATCACACAAACTGGTGATTTAATCAAGCATAAGACAAGCTGAACTTTGTTTCAAATGAGTACGTACGAGGTGCGATCGAAAGGTTTCCAGACTGCGCGTATAAAAACCCGTACACTTATCTCCAATAAGAAATCAAAATGATATTCATGAGGTAATTTGGAGGAGACTACATTCTGAAATGCTTCCTACTTCCAGTTCAAAATATTTGTCTTCCTGTCTGATTTCTAAAAACCTGAAGATTAAAGTATACAAAACAATATTTCTTCCTGTTGTTTTGTATGGTTGCAAAACTTGGTCTCTCACTTTGAGGGAGGAACATAGATTGCAGGTGTAGAATCTGCTGACAGGTCCCATAGCCTATCCCAGCAATGTCGCACAAGTCGTTGATGGTACGACGTCGATCTTTGTGAATGGCCTGCCGAATCTTCGTAACATTTTCGGGCGTTGTGCTCGAAGATGGTCGTCCAGAACGCTCGTCGTCATCGACAGAGGTTCGGCCATTTTTAAAACATGAATGCCACATAAAAGTTTGTGAACTACCCATTGCGGACTCCCCAAATGCTTGCTTTAGCATTTCATAGGTTTCCGTAGCCGTTTTGGCGAGTCTTTGGCAACATTTGATGCACACGCCATTCCGAAATCGCAGGAGGGTCGGTGTAATGCACTACCAAAACGCCCGTAACTAAGAAACAAATGCTAATTCGATGATGCCGGCTGGCACACTGATTCACTATGAATGTAGGCCGCACCCCCTAGCGGCAGAAGCTCGTATTACATCTGATTCGCCATCTATTGACACAGTCTTGAAACTTTCCGATCGCACCTCGTACATATAGCACGAATCGGAGAAACACAAAATTCATACAAGATTTTACTCAGGAAACGTAAAGGAAAGAGACCACCTGCAAAGCCAGGCATAGAAAGTGTATCCCTGAAACAAGGATGCTGGCGTGTGTGAGATAACTCCCGTTATTATTTACAATCACACTGGTCTTATGTAAATTACGTCACTTACATCACATATAATTGTCTAGATCGCTGTAACCCAGGCAGCAGTCCCAGTTTACGTATGTAAAACGAATCAAATAAAATTATAATGAACTACAGCGGGTTAATAAATCAGAGGTTACATAACATAACAACATTATGTCGCAAATCTTAATTCGTTTTAAAAGTGTCAAGGCTGCATTATCTTATCCTGGCACCATTAACGCGAAATCGCCACATTATGTGAACCTTCGACCTTACTTAGTCCTTTACATTCGTCATAAATTTATAAATTACAGAAAAAAAAAAAAAAACCCGAACGGGATTTAATCGATTCCTTTCCCTGATAAACTTGCATTGTTCCTGTCTGCAGCTCAGTTCATAACGCGAACAATAACAAAGGTCTCTTGGAACCCAGGACGTCGTGCGAACACCAATCTCAATTTCGCAAAAGTAACAATGAAGCACGGCTACGTGACGCAACTGAGTGTCCTTAACAATACGAAATCAAAGGACAGAAACTTGAGCAACAAGACAATTATTTATTATTATTATTTAGTGTTCTGTCTGACGACAGGTCCATATGAACAGGATCCTTCCATCCTTTTCTCGGACTGGGACCTGTTCATATACGTTCTTGGCAGATGATCCAGAAGTGGGTTGCCATTGCCTTCTTCTGTGTGTGAAGGGAGTAATTGTTGGGATGCCACGGAGAAACCGGGGAAGAAGCCCCCGGAGGAAAACTCCGTGTTGCCTAGACCAAGGCCTTGCCCAACACAAGTTATAAATTCGAACCCGAGACCCCAGGATTACAAGGCCAGCGTTCTAACCGCTAGACCACCGTGGGTAACAAGACAATAAATAAATAAAAATGAGGAAATTGCATTAACTTTTACCGAATGGAAGTATTTCCAAACACGTGACCAGAATTAAATATGGCCGGACAAGGAATATCATTCAGAAACTAACAGATTACAAAGAAAGTTTCGAGATATTTAAAACTAGTAATCCCGACCACTAAAATTTATCTAGTTTCCGGTAAGGAACTTCTGTCTTCATTTTTTAATTAACTACAAATTTCCCAACTTTTTGCCTAGAGCAGACGCCTCTGAAAAACCACAAACCTGACCAAGACTATATAATAACATATTATTATCTTGCCTGTAATTTATAATAAATTTCCACGAAACTCAGCTGGTATTTTTGAATATTTTCTGTGGAATAACACGTGCCGCCTTTGTCTTCCGACATTCCATCGTAGATGTTAACTGATAAGGGTGAAAAATTGGCTTCTAGATCAGCCTTATCACTTGCGGTGAGTAAATGCTACAGCTCAGCTGTTGATTGCTTTGAAACCGGTTGATCGACGTAGAAAAGACATATGAAAGTCAAGGCAGAAAAGTTACATCTTTACTAAACAGAATAAATTTTTCTGTTTTTATAGTGTGTAGTAGACTGACCCGCAACGAAAATTGTAGAACATCTGGTTAACAATTTCGGGTTCTAGAAGATTCACGTCTAATGATATAAAAAATAAATAATTTTTCTTTTCTAGTAAGAGGGCGTTTAAACCCCTGTAGCCAAAGAAAGGCCCGTTATTTTTCAACGTGGGGATTTAATTAAAAATATAAGATTTAAGAACACTAATCGATCTATATAACAGACAAGTGTAGTTTGGTGATCAATCATCCATGACCGATTATCTACATCGTCTTCTATATAAAGCAAGAAAACGTGTAATTTAGATAGTAATTTGCACTAAATAGGTTGTAATTAAATTCTGAAATTAATTACTGCAAGCCACGTGCTACACACACGGTCCACCAATCAAAACGACAAGCGATTGGAAATGAAAAACGTGATTTCAAGCACCAAATCCCACCGTCCCGATACGTACCAAAATCAGATCATATCTGACTCATAATCACCAGGACTTTTGTCGCCTCAAGATGAACTCCAATTTCTCCATTGTGGTTTATCTATTTTCTAGCAATTTCTTTTATTTCGTTTCATCTCCCTTCCATCGTATGACATCCACGAGTCCATATCCACGCTCGTAACTCGTAAACAATCTCGTCACCTAATCTGAACACTGATTGGCGGAATTCTTGTTACGTCACGAGCCAACCTTGAGGAAGACGTCAGGACTTTTTTGAACGGTTGTGTATAAAAAGGCAGGTAGTCTGACATTGCAGGAGTTCTTAACCTTTCCTCAACACCAAGACGACAGCTCCTAAAAACGCAACCAGGAGCCAGCAGGAAGACTTCGCTTACAACCAGAAAAGCAACTTCGAGCGTGTGTCACGTGTGCCTGCTAAAAGTGAACAGAGACTGGGGCATATTTCGAGAAATAATACGGAAAAATAAAACATAATTTTGGTGTTCAATTCTTGAAACGAAGAAGCAACTGATTTTTATTAAAAATGGAAATGAAATTCGAAAGAGTTTATAATTCTGAAACTTTTCAAAACCACCAATGGAAATCGACGGTAAGACCATAATTTAAGAAATCTAAAATATAATTTCACTGTTACTGATAAAAATAGGCCAATTGAAAGACCTAAGAGTAGATGGTACGGTAGTATTAAAATATTTTACAAGTAATATGACGTGAAGATTTGTAATGTCACCTGGATCTGACTACGGACGAGTGGCTCTTGTGAACACGGTTATGGATCTAACGAATCCATAAAAGGGGAGGGATTTCTCGGTCAGCTGACATTTTCTTATTTTTCAACTGGACCACCACCATCCCCCCTTCGTGCACAGAACAAAAAAAACACCACCACGCTTTCAGGGCTCATCATAAATGCAACACAAACACCTAACACAGTGACATTAAATGTCTTAATGTGTTACATAACTCGCTGACCTTGAAACTGGTTCCAGCTCCTCAAGACCGCTTTGTTTTGTGTCCAGAATTTTACTATCAAAATTACGTTATTAATGACATCACAGGACTGACAAAGAATGTTTATTCTCGCTACGGAGATTCATCTGCCGTGTCTTATTAAGATCGTCTTATTGTTCTTAGACCAACGCCCATGTCTGCAGTCTGTAAATGTGTTCGGGTGTTCTAAAAAAGTATCTTTAGACATGGATTTTGAACTCTGCTTGAATGGATTACACTGATTCGGGTAAGTTCCAAGTTGCGTGCTCTAGAATAAATGTTTTTCATAAAACGCTTAGAAATTTACAACCAGCTGAGCGACTATTAATTTCTCAAGAAAAGACTCGATACATTCTAGCAAATTTTGGGTAAAGCAGACCTGCAATGCAGTTAAAACCCTTTCCTAAATCAAAACAAAAATTACAGTGAATTAGACTTGTGGGAGTCAGAAGGGAACAATCAGTAAGATTTCCGAAGAAAATTAATTATAATTAACGGCAAATCAAAAGGGTAACTGATACATAAGTGAGATTTCAGAGTCTCAGGGCGGTGAGTATGAAGATGTCTGTCTTCCGGTTGTAGCGATGCATAGCCTTGTACGTCTACTCTTACGAATTTATTGATTCATAGTTTATTTAACGATGCTTTTTCAATAGCTCAGACTACATACTGTCGAATGAGAGGATGTTAGTGAATAATGAATTGGAAAGGATGTGGAAGGAAACGGTCGTAACTCAATTTAAGGTACTTTCCCGGCATTTCCCTAGAGAGACTGAGGAAAGCCACGAAGAATCCCAGTCAGGGTAGCCGGTCTCCGGGTCGAGATTTGAGCCCCGGACCTGCCGAGTACGAAGCAGGAGTTATAACCACCCGACCATGACGTTCGACGACTATTTTCACGAAGAATCTTCATGAAAATACACTGGCTCAAAGTATTTTATGCAGTGGAATGGGCGGACATCCTTCACAAATAACGCACAAAGGTTCGGAATATCACCACAAGCGTGGTTAAAGATAAAATGAGGAAAAGGGGTCAACTCTCAGAGATAACGTCCACACAGAAACGTCCGGCGATTCTACCGGGGAATACCACAGCTGAATCATTCATTAACTGACCACGACAACGAAATGTTAATCAGGGAAGTTCATCGGTCGTGTTGACGGACAAATTCTAGTAGAGAAACACACCCACTCTGGTTGTAACATTTGGCTTTTACAAGGTTGGCAGCCTCTAACACACACACACACACACAATTATTACGCTAGTGTAAACAACCTGAATTAATTTATTATACTTAAGTGCGTCCATGAGAACAAAACAGCTTGCATAAATATGTTTTTCTACGATGCATCGTTCAGGAACCTTCAGTTGTTCGAAACGAAGCTCTCACCTTTTGGAATAATTATTGTTTTTTCTATCATGCGCCAAGATCTTTTGGATACACGTGTCTAATTGTCGAAAAATAAATAAATACTTTTTTCTAAGTTTCTCTCTCCAGCAGGAGAAGTTTTTGTGTTTGTCATTTTTATACGACACTTCGTTTGGGAGAGACAGACAGACACATATTATCCTTTCAAATACAAACAAATGCATAAGCAACAGGGTCAATGTTCATTTGAAGTGAAAAAACAGGAAACTGTATTTAAGAATTCAGTCCGTACCGCGAAGAAAACACAGTACTTCACCAT